CTTTTTGGGTACCTGCTTTGGTGGTGCTGGGTTGGGTCTGCACTCTTAAGGCTAAGGCTAAGGCTTAAGGCTAAGGCTAACATAGAGCAAGGCTAGCGCTAAGGTTCTATCCCTTGGGGGTCGGCGGCTGCAGGCGGTAGCCTGGTAAATAAACAAAACAATACGTGAAGCACGGGGGAGTATCTACATGGAAAAAGCCTGCTCATGTCAGAGCGATGCTGATGCTTGTCACCTTTTGATTCCGGGCATTCAATCAGATTTGAAGCGTGTGCTTCCAGCAAGTCGTTCACTTGCTGCGCAATCGCGCAATCGCACGGAGCAGGTGCCGTCTGCACGTTCAGTGCCGTTCACTTGCTGCTTTGCACTCTTCCTAAGCGCAAACGAAACGTTTGCCAACAGCTCGAAGGCGGGTCGTCGTCAAGGCCATCGCGCGGGGGGAGAAGAACGCCCGGAGGTTCAAAGCTCAATGGTGTCAGCTCAGATTGTTGTCAGTCACCACCTGGTGCTTTGGCTGTGATGTTCCTGGCAGCAATTGCCCAAAGTACCAATCCATGACAACATGATGGAACCAATTCATGCAGTGCAGTATATTCTGGAGACTCGAGAAGCGATCAAACTGATGATGATGCGATGTGTCCTGGAGCTGAACCACTTCGAACCGTAGGAGATAAACAACTCCTCACCTTTCAGCACTGGCCTTCAAACGAGTGCGGACCACTTCACAAGTCAGCTGAAGTCTACTTAGCTTTGTTGCTCAGCTTCATTTGAGATCGATACAGTAGTTAGTAGTTGGTTTGTCAAGTGCGACTTCATGCACTTTCGTGCTAGCCAGCCTCAATGCCCAGAAGCGTCCCACGAGTCTACGCCCATGCTCTCGACGTTGCTCCCAAGCAAAATCAGTGTTTGGATCCTGAAAGAGAGCACACACCACAAGATGTCAGGCACGACGTCTGTAGTCTTATCATCCAATTGAATCAAACACTGCCTCACAAAAAGGTGATGTTAAATTGTTCAAAAAGAGAACATATAGCGAGCCCTGAGAGATCTAACAATCACTATTAGAGAAGTCTTCCTGTCCTCACATTGTCTGCTATTTTGTGCAGTTTATGCCTTTCTAGGTTTCTGAGAAAACGCAGCAAACTGTCGCAAATCGACCGTTTTTCTCCTCTGCATGATTGTGTAGCGAGGCAAATCCAAGACCCAGAATCGAGTAGTTCTTGGCCTAGGGCGCCATTTGGATGTTTCTGGTCATCGCTTTCAAACTTGTGTCATTTCATTCCATCGACAAGGGACAAGGTGAATGGGGATGTGAACCAATGGTTAGTTAGTTATAGGGGCACCCCAAGCTGTACGCAGTAAATGCAAGTGGTTGAGGCATGTTGAGTCCATCAATCTACCCTTGGGGGATGAGGATGAGGATGGGGGTTGAGTCATCTAAGGCCCCCACCTCGTCTTCCCAAAGAACTTGGGTAGTTGCAAAGACGTCATCGCTGATACACTCTGGCTGCCCTTCAATCAGTCGACCTGGTGATTCATGAAGAATCTCGCCCTGCTCAAAGTCTCTTCCTGCAGGGCTTTGGCTCTTTAGCCCTGATTACTACTAGTAGCAAGAACGTGACTAGTAGCTATTTGCTACTAGTAGTAATATGTAGTAATGCCCTTGTTACTAGTAGCGATGCCCTTGTTACCTGCATCACTCAAAGCCTTTGACGACCCAAAGCAGGAAGAACACAAACAAGCGGCTGACCCAAAACAATGAGACGCACAGTGTCCTGCAAAAAGACCCCAGCCATGTACCGTGGATTTCCCACAAAAGATTTCGGAGACTTTGAGCATTGGTACCTGAAAGGCACTCCTCGCTACGTTCGTAGCTTCTTGTTACTAGAAGTAATGCACTTGTTACATCTTGTTACTAGTAGCGATGCACTTTCCAAGCCAGAAAGACATTCTGAAATCCTACTGAGTAGTAGATGTAGTAGGTCCTACTCCAAAGACATTGCCAGGTCTTTTCAAAACAGTCTGTTTCCCATTGTTCACGCTTCTGTGATTTTTCTAGAAAAATCATAGCGGTTTCAATTTGAACGAATCAATCGCCTTTGAATTCAGGCAAACAAAAACACACATGAACAAAATGCCAACCAAATGCTACAGCCACCTATGGCAAAATCAACAGGTAGGCTGACCACTGAAGCTTGCCATGCACTGTTTGAACACTTCTTGCCACTCTTTTGCTGGTTTGGCCTCCTCCACCTCGGTGGCTTTGATTGCCAACCGTGCCGATTCAGAGAGTTGGTCGGGTAGCTCTCGGTCTTCGATGTCATCTGCGTCGAAGTAGGACTTCCTCAAAGCATGGAGAAGCTTCAGCTTTGGGGGATTCGGAGAAGAATGGCCAGATGTTCATCTGGATCTGCTGAACAATGATGTCTTTCTTTCCGTCATGTCATGACAACATTGCACCCCCAAGCTAGTGACAAAGCTCCAATGTCTTTAGATCCACATGTTCGTATCATTTCGTACGCTTCATATAAGACCAAAATGACTGAGTGTCTCATGTCATGTGATGTAAAACAAAGGGGTGGACAAGGTTTCCATCTCTTTCCAAGGCTCGGCATATTGCGCACTGCTGCTCGCAGTGGCTGAAGCTCTCGTGAAATGAAATGATGTGACCTGAACAGCATTTCAGAATATTTCAGAGCAGTGGCCAACATTGGTACACACTGCGCAGCATGAATCAGCATGAGCTCCATTCCCTACGCTTGGTAAAGCTTTGAGCCAAGCTGCACAAAGGCCCAGCTTGCCCACGAAAGCAACACTGGCCACAAACGAAGGCGCGCACTTCGCATCATCACGCGGGCTGGCTAATGTATCTGGATGATTGGTGGGATTGATGCTGTGGATTCGCTCCCTGTTAGATGGTGCGTTCTTGGCCTGTAGTAGCCTGTAGCTGTAGCAACTTTGAAGTTCCTTGGTCTTGCAAGAGGAGCCAAAAGTGGTATCACCCTGTGTATCATTGTTATCTTAGCACATCTTAGCACCATAGTTAGATTTCGCGTCCACAACTGCTATATATAACAATGGCTGCAGTTCAACGAATGCGAAGCAGCAAAGCAATCCTTTAAGATACATGAAGAAGCATCAATGCGTCAATGAGGGCCTCTAAACGATCAGACTGGGTCCGCTGCCCCATGGTGTTCCACATGCCACAACGTCCACAAAGCACCTTGTTGGCCTGAACATATCACACAGACCTGACTCACTCTCAAGTCTGGTGGCTTGGGAGCCGAGGAGTTCGTTGCGAGACAGGCTCGGCATGCAAATGAGATTCATGAGATGGTGAAGAATGAGCAAAGGCCAGTATATAAGGGGTAAGAGGGGTACTAGAACCCCCGGCTGTGTGCACACCCAAACGTGTTCGGATCGCCTGCAAGGACGCCAGGCTGGCATCCTTCTCGGAGAGGCGTGCGGACAAGGCCTTGAGACATCTTGGGAAGTCTCTAGTGATCTCTAGCGTGTCTAGAAATAGAGAAGAACAAAAAGAACTGAACAAAAAAGAAAGGTAAGGCCGCTTGAAAGGGATCCTTAATTCATACCGTTTTTCTTCCTGCAGTTTCTATTTCGAGACACCAACTTGGATCCATGCTGAGACATTTTGAACATTTGCAGCCAAAATGTTTCGTTCCCTTGACGACAAAAGCAACACCTTCCCCGAGCAACTTCTCTCTACAATTTTCTGCAATT